AACATGTTGACAATTTTACTCTTATGCTATTGATAAATAACATACCCTTATGTTGTCGATCAATGATAGTAATTTATAAAGGACATTTATTGAGAAATATAAATAATATGTAGCACTAGAGATTTTCTTCAAAAATAACACACATTTTAGGGTGTTCAAATTTTGGGAAAAAAAATAAGTATATCCAATCTAAATCGGATATTGGTCAAACGAAAATCGATAAAATCAATTAATATCTAAACTTTAAAGTTTGAAAAAATAGTTTTGAAATAGATATTCAAATTTGATAACTAAATTTCTAATTAAATTTTGGTGACAATAGATATTAAAATTCAATTACCAACCAAATTTGCAAGAATTTTATATGTTAATATATTATATATAAAAAAAATCCTATATTAAGCAACGTACAACTAAAATAATAGGAATAAACTAAAAGATAGTCCACATTTTTTATTTTAGATATTCTCTTATTTGTACCTATCGTATAGAAATGTCGTGTGTTTTTTAGCCTTCTTTGTAGGCAGATTTATTTATTTATTGCTATCTACTAATATATATCATGGAGTAATCTATTATATAAACGGTGTTATAACTTATGCTTTCATAGAATCAATTTGACTAAAGACAAAATTTACAAGATAAGGATAGAATTGTCAGTTAAGCATTCTAATTTTTTGGCTTTTTCAAATGGAATACTTAATACAAACATTAAATGAAATGCTTTCAAATGGGTAAAATGCCAATTATTTTTATTGAGGGGGACAAGGTGTTTTTACCCCCACTTTCAGGGGGGCAAAGTGTTATTAGCCCTAAGTGGAAAAGCAAGTATTGAACTGGTAGTATAGAAAGAAGAACCCTATTTTTTATTTTATTTTTTTAATCTTGTCTAAGCAACCCAAGCTCAAGTTCTTTACAAGATTAGTAGTTTGGAATTTGGATATTAAAATTGGTTTCTACGCTGATGTCTCAAGGGTATTTGAAAGTCTAACTCTAAGCTACTTTGTTGTAACTTCAATTTCAAGGGGACACAGGGTTGTATAAGAGTGCTAGTGAACAAAATGCTCAGCTTGCACTATAGCAAACAATATTTGACTGCCTCACAGATGTCTAATCTTAATTTCTCTAGCTTCATCCACTAGGACTTCAAATGATGATAAAATACTGTCCCATCGGATAAACTACTCAGCATAAGAGCAGTTGTGATGATCATTTTAGTAGTAGTTAGTCGTTTCTGTAGGGTACCATCTAGGCGTTTAGACATCAATTCATGCTAGCTTGAATTTTTACTTTTACAGGAGTGTTGAGGCAATGTAGGACTCATCGAAACCAGAAAACATTTGCTAGAAACTTAAGTGCCAACAGTATATCACTGTTTTAAACAAATTGTATAGTAACAGTACTTGATCAATGGAGACACTTAACTGGTTAAGGGTTTCTTATGAAATTCACTGCTGAATCTACTGGTCCAGTAAAGGGCACAGAGTGGACCATCCGCCGACGAAAGCAGACAAAGAAAAAGCATTATGGGGTCGTGAAAATATCACCTTCTGGGGGTTCACGTCCTGCTTCTGGATTTTAATATTATCTTCATTCCAAAATAACATATTGTTTGGGCCCATGAATTCATTTGCTTTTCTTTACTTTTTTTTTTTTTTTTTGCCAGCCAGTCTCTTTCAATTAAGTTGTAAATAAATACCCAAACAAGTCTCTTTCTTTTTCTTGAAATGCATGCATTTTAATCCAACAAAAAAATGGGGCGCATTCATGAACCGTCAATAATAAAATAACATTTCAAGAGTCACAATCAATAAAAAGAAAAAGATTGAAAGTGATTGGAATGCAACTATGCATATTTGTTAACTGAATGGTTAAATATTCCGAAAAAAAAGATCATGAGAACATGATACTAAGGCATAATTGAAAGATCAGAAACAGCTATATATCCACTTGTTGAGGATGAAATCTTTGCGACCTTAAGTATACTAGAAGGGGTGTTGTATTGAAATTTTATTAAGAAATACACTCCATATTTTTTTTTCTTTTTTAAAAAGATGGATAACCTAGAAAGGAAGTCTAAACCTTTGAAGGCTGCTTTAAATTGGTTGAAGGGTTTTGATGTTTGACCCTTTCTCCTATCTATATGCGACATTACACCATTTTGTGTGTTCGTTTCATCCAAAAAAAAATCCATAAATTTCTGTCTTATGCTTTTTCATGGATGAGATAGATATCATATAGGGTTCAATTATTTGGTATGTTCGTTTCAGTCAAAAGGACCGTAATTTCCCCCTTTTTTCATGGATGAGATAGATATCATAATTGCTTTTTTTTTTTTTTTGTTTTATCACTCTCAAACTCATCACCTTCTTTTTCCGTTGAATGATTAGAGCACAAAAGTAATTGTTTTATACAAAATGAACAAAAATTAGATTGTGTATAGAAAAATGGTGTCATAAGAATCTCACCTTATACCAAAAATGTGTGCATGGATGCGTTATATACTTAGGCGGACCTCACCTTATACCAAAAATCTCTAACAAAGCAATTTCAATAAACACCTTCATAGATTTCGAAGCAATATAAAGTTAAAAAGCTAAGAAAGGAGATTTACACCTAGCTTGCATGGGCTTCATTCAATAAATGATAGCTGAATCTGATAATACAATTTTGATTGGCACAAAATTTGGGGGTCTTAAACTTTCCTTCTTTAGAGCAGAAGACGATCGAAGTCCAGTCGAAGGGCATCGATATATATCTAGAGCTCTGACGAGCATACTAAAAGGATTCTCCATTAACGTAAATTATTTGTTTCGTATTTTGTTTTAGGTCAAATTATTCCACATGTAAATTCAGCATCTGTGCGGCCGAATTAATAATGAATGCATATAAACATTGAAATTAAACAAAAAAAAAAATCTTCAATTCCTAATTTTCATTTTATTCTTCGGTCCAAACTTAGATTATTCTACTCTTATATTAGCCTCCGCTCAGCATCTGCTGACCCAAATTAATAACAGACTGAGATCTATAGATTTATCTAAGAAGGTAAAGATTTGATAATTTTAACCAATCTTAATGAAGTTTATTGTTTCTGTTCGCACGTTTGATTCCTTACAATTTGGACCTAATAAATTCAATCTTTCACGTTCTAGTGTTGACATATTTGCTGCGTTAATTACATATGAATTGATACTAGTCTTCAGTCAATTGATAGCGTGTACTATATCTCAATCAGCATTTCTTGTTTGATTTAACTTTTTCTGTTGGCTCCAAAAGATACTACAACAATCAAGAAAATCAGATCCCTTGTACCAACTTCATATGACTAGACCAGATAGACTATGTTTACGAACATAAACAATGTCTTATACTCCCTCGTACCTTTGCTTGGATTTTCATTCGACAGACGAAGAAGAGAAGTTGGTCCGAGTTGTTGCTTGTGGCCATCAATCTAAATGGAGGAATGGGCTTTGAAACTTTGAATTCTGAACCCTAATTATCATTTGGAAAACGGTAACTGAGAGTATAAATTAATACAAATCACTCAAAGCAAGAGAAAAGGAATTTTTTTGTTGAAAGAAAGAAATTAAAAAAAAAAAAGAAATAGTTGGTCCTATTACAGAGGGTACCTGTCCTGTATTTAAATGCTGTTATTCCTACTTCTAAGGGGGGCTGTCCTCGTGCGGAATCCGCCGACGGAAGAAGACAAATTCCCGGGGTCAGAATGTGAGAATCAAGACATATTTAAAAAAAAAAAGGAAAAATGTATTACAAAATCAATAATTAATGTGGGATGCATACACAGATTGATACTAGCTAGGGTAATGTCGAGGTGCTTTTCTTGCAGTATTAAATTTGTTGTATGGCACTATGGCTATTGTCAATTCATCATCATGCATAGTTGCATAAACAAAGCTCTATAAAAACAAATTATCTTATCATCATATTAAGACTTGAATACCTGAACCTCTTTGCTGTAGACTGCTCCGAGTTTGAATTGTCAACAATCGAAATCATAGATGATGGGAATATGACGTATGGAGAAACCTTAATATATTGCCCTGTCATCCTATATTAAATTAATTGCTAACCAAGTGATCATGTGTGCTTGTGACGCTTGGAACAGACTAATTAATCTGGTGGATTATGTCTGACAATCAATTTCGTTGGCTGAAAAGTGAATTAAATAAAGCTTCAAGCTTGATTTGCTTAGGGTTTGATAACGTTACACATTCAAGCTAGAATTCCACAAAAACTCTTCAAATCCTTATATTTCAAGTGCGTTTGATGGTGTCTTGTATTTTTCCAAGTTCGTCCTTGGCTTGGATCAAGAACCAACCTGTCTTCAATCTTTTTTTTTTCTTTTTAACAACATTTAATTTATAACATATCTCTAGTCTATGTATCCCCAACTTCAGTCTACATGTTCCTGTCCTGGCATTCTTACATCATCGGCACTCGTAGTGTAAAATCCTTATCTGTATACAATGAATCTTGAACAATCATTTCCAAAGAAATTTTAAAAGCGTTTACCTATGTCTGATTTTGGCCAGTCCAATTAATTTACACTCTGATGCACTCATGCAAGTTTTCTCTGACCACAATCGTAGAAACTCACGTCAGTTAAATGCAATTCAGTACGCAATTAATAGGTCCCCTCTAGATCCTTATAATAGGTGGAGAGAATGAAGTGTCAAAGAATCACCACAGAAAGAATTAGGGTTCAAAAAATTGGTAATGATATGGACATGACTAGAAAAGGAACAAATATAAGGAATCAGTGTTAATATTAGTTAATAAAAAAAAAAAGAGCGGAAAGAAATAGAATTCGGAACATCTAGGTATAATAAAATGGTGCCAAAGTTACCGATCCAATTTACCTTCAAGAATAACTAGTTTCTGCTAATAGCTCATCTAAAAGGTCAGGTCCCAACTCCCAAGTCCTCAAACGCCAAAACATCTTCGTTTCGACCTATTTCTCATCTTGTGTACCTCTTTCAAGGCTGCAACTGGGGATTCTCCACCCATGTCTTCACATCCCATTTCCTGCAATGATCGTAGGCCAAAGCTCCCTCCTCTGCAGTATCAAAAGTTCCACGCCAAACCCTTGTCCCATTTCTTGTAGAATCCCTCATTTCTGCATGATTCCGCCACGGCCGCTTTCGAACACCTATGTATTGCTTTTCGGGCTCTTTTTGAAGACTGAAGATGATTTCATTCTCATCAGTACAGGCACTGCTGGATGGACCAGTATCCCATAAGTACCTTGTCTCATCCTCATCACCAGCAATGCAGAAATCAAGATTTTCACCTTCTGCAATAATTTGCTTGTAAGATGATGACAAGACTGTTTTATGGAAGAAAACTGGATCCAGGAAGGTTCCATTCGTAGGTTTCTTCCTTTTTCTCAGGTTAGTAGTCAGTACTCTTTTGATGAGAAATATCTGAACAGAAGAAACTTCAATTGTCATATGATTAGGAGTTTGAAGGGTACTAAGAAGCTTGTATTATATACGTGTACTGGATTTATATAGATGATTGCTGTCAAAATTCTCTGACAACTATTCGTTCATGGAATTCCGACCAATTTGATGCCCCCACTGGAATTTTTTAGAGCATACATGTTGCAATGACGCTCACAATTGCAAAATATTTGCATTGCCATGACGTCATTTGCGGTCTGCGGGATTCAAAAAAGAATATAGAAAGGAAAGCTTGGCATTTTTCTTTCTTAATGGATGAGACGGCTGTGTCCAAGAATTTCAAACTTCTGTTTTCCTATTTTACTTGCATTTCTTTTATATTTTCTATTATCTCATTACTTACGTACTCGAGCAAGAGACATTGCAATGCATTTCCAATAGTGAGCACTTGTTAGTACACCACAATCATATATACATTAACATGTAAATATACATATTAACAATTACTATCCTACTTCATATTTATATAGGTTAAAAATTTCATTTTTGAGTAACAAATGGGAGAGAGGATGGGACGAGAGGGAGAGGAAAAGAGAGGAAAGGAGGAAGAGGGGGAAAGGAGAAGAGAGGAGAGGAGGAGGAAGGAGGAGGGGAAGGAGAGAGATGGAGAAGGAGGGAGAGAGACAGAGAGATTAAAAAAAAAAAAAAAAAAAAAAGAGGGGTGGGTTCAAATGATGCAGAGGTGGCAACCAACAGTGGTGGGCTCAGATGATGGCGGTGGCTATGAAAGAGAAAATGGTTAGAAAGAGTGGTGGTAAAAACAGAAACAAATGTGCATTTTTATGTATTTTGTAATGTGTATTTTAAACTTTGTGGTATTTTTAAAAAGTTTATATGGTCAAAATTATTTGAAAACTTGTGTTATAAAAATACCCTTAAAAACACGGATACAAAACAGAGCCGTTGTCCCACACCTAGCCGCCAGTGCCACTAAGCTTCTTTCTTCTGTTTTCCAAGATAACATATGCAGTTGCTTTTTTACAAGCAAAACTCGTTTTTATGTTTTCAACCATTTGCTCAATGGTCAAACTATGTATTCTACTATTAATTTAGTTTTACTACCTTAACCCGCAAAAGATTTAAACACGGCCTCCCGTAACATAGTTTCCTTGTCATTTGTACCCTAAAAATTTGATGTTGGCCACATTACAATTTCATCATGTATGATGCTATATGGTGATAATGACAGTTTCTTTTTTATCATTATACATGATCAATTTGTCAATAATAACGGCCATATTCTACCATCCAATATAATTTATTCAATAGAACAAAATATTCAAGCAAAAGGTGTGTTCTTTATTCAGCTTCTTGTCCTAGATTTAGCATAATCTCCACACTTAAGAACAGATTTTCTCAGCTTGACATCCATTTAACTTCGGTTAGAATAGATTACCTCCGTCATTCCATTGCTTCCTGGACTAGATTAAAAAAACATCCAATTTCCGAAGTTTATGTTAATGATTTAGGGAGGAGAAAAAAATAGTAGTATGGAGCAAGCTATGCAAATCATCATATACAAATAACCCAATGTTGGTAGTCATTTGAAAAAGAATTGTCTAATATAATTAACGTAGCTTCTTCCAAAATTTTAACCACTGATTGTATGTCATGAGTAGTTCTAGAACCTAGAAACTTTCTCGTACTAGTTTGAAAGTCTGCCAGAATTGGCATCCTACAGTATCAGCAAAATATATATGCATATATATATATATATGTGTGTGTGTGTGTGGGTTTGTCTATATATATATATATATTTGAGAGCAATTTATTACAACTAGTTAATGCATCTTCTCTTTAGCATCTGTAGTAGTGGTCGTGTAACTATTTTAATCTTGTGATTTTCCAGAACCTTGTATACGTTATGATCATCTAACTTACTATCCATTCTATATCAAACCTTTAAATTCAGCATGATAAAAGTCCTTTTTTTTACCCATAATTAGCCTATTTTTAATCCACATAAGAAAGCTTCAATGATGCCTATCCCAGGCCTTGCGATTCCTTGTTTGCAGCTGCTGAAAAAGTTCAAGAAGTGTATAAAGGTTTGCAGCACATTTGCAAACAAGATTTTCGAACTGAAAACATGTCCGTTTCTATACCTACTTGTTAGAGACTTAATAAGCAATCAGTTTGCAAAGACAAGTTAAATGGCAATACATTTATATAATAATCTGCAATAGCAATCATTAGCTTTTTGGATATTAGGCCAAGAATTGAGAGGAATATTTGGAGACAAGGGTAGCTTCAATTGTTTTCTTGTTTTATTTCTTTCACACTCTCTTATATTGGTTTGGAGCTTACAAGGTCTATTTATAATTGTAAATGCTCATTCTAGATACATAGAGAAATATTCCAACCACCCCAACAACTCTCTTAATTTCCATCATTCTAGAGAACATTGCAATTATCTAGAGAGCATTCCAACTAATTCATTAATCAAGCTAATTGATTCAGCACATTATTCAACATATTCCCCCTTAATGTGCTATTCTTGAACTCCAAGCATCTCTCGAAAATAGTTGAACTTGTCTTTTGGAAGTGGCTTGGTAAAGATGTCTGCAACTTGGTCTTCACTCTTGCCAAATTTTAGTTCAACTTCACCGTCTTCAATTCATCTCGAATAAAATGGTGTTTGATAGCAATATGGCGAGTTCTACTATGATAAACTGGATTTTTGGCAATGCCAATTGCTGATTTGTTGTCACAAAGAGTCACTGTAGCTTCCTTTCACTTCTCATCAAGAATTATCCTAAGCCAAATGGTTTGTGATGTCGCCAAACTTGCAGATACGTATTCAGCTTTAGTTGATGATTGTGCCACGCTTTGTTGCTTCTTTGATGCCCAAGAAAATACTCCAGAATCAAGCAAAAAACAATAGCCTAAGGTGCTCTTCATATCATCAAGGCATTCACCCCAATCACTATCACAATAACCATGCAAATTTAAAGTAGTGCCTTTGCTGAATTTGATGCCATAATCAAGTGTCCCTTTGACGTATTTTAACACTCTCTTGGCTGCTCCAAGATGTAATTGGCTGGGATTGTGCATAAACCTTGATAATAAACTTGAAGCAAACATGATACCCGGTCTTGTAGCTGTGAGATAAAGCAAATTTCTGACCAAACTTCTATACAAAGTGGAATCATTTTTTTTTTCACCATCTTCCTTGACAAACTTTTCACTTACAACAAGTGGTGTAGCCATAGGTTTACAATCAGCCATGCCAAATTTTACAAGAATATTTTCAGCATATTTCTTTTGACAAATAAAGGCTCCATCATCATATTGATAAATTCCATACCAAGAAAATGATGTAGCAGTCTCATATCATTCATTTCATATCTTTTCATCATGTCTTTCTTAAAATCAGCAATCATCTTCTCATTGTTACTAGTGTAAAGCAAATCATCAACGTATAAAGCAACAATGAGAATGTTTGAGTTATCTTGAGTTTTCACATATAAGGTTGGCTCACTTTTACTCTTCTTGAATCCTTGCTCCATGAAGTAAGAATCAATTTGACTATACCAAACCCTTGGAGCTTATTTCAATCCATATAATGCTTTCTTCAACTTATACACTTTGTCTTCTTGTCCTTTTTTGACAAAACCTTGAAATTGTTGAACATACACCTCTTTCTTCAATCCTCCGTTCAAAAAGACAGATTTAATGTCAAGTTGGTAGAGATTCCAACCTTTTTGAGCTGCCACAGCACTGAGAGCTCTAATTGTATCACATCTTGCAACCGGTGCAAATGTTTCATTGTAGTCAATTCCGAGCTGTTGTGAAAAACCCTTAGCAACAGTCCTGCCTTCTTTTTTTGGATTGAACCATTTGGATTCATCTTAACTTTGTAAATCCACTTGATACCAATGATCTCCTTGTCTCGAGGTTTTTCAACTAGTTTCCAAGTCTCATTTTTCTCAATTGCATAAATTTCATCTTCCATTGCCTTTCTCCAATCCTTTTCTGCATATGCTTCTTCAAAATTTTCTAGTTCAAGAATACAAAAATTGTATCTTGTATAAACATCACTTAAACTCCTCATTTTCTTTGGAGTTGTGTTTAGAGAACCAACTCGAACTTGAATTTGGAGTTGATGGTGGATTGCTTGTTAGTGTTGAATCATCTCCATTTTCTTCTTCATTTGTTGAATATTCTTCTTCTTCATGATGCCAAATACCCGCTTCACAATCTTTTTCTCATCCCAATTCCAAGCAGCATTTTCATCAAATACAACATCTCGACCAATAATGATTTTGTTTGTCTTCAAATTAAACAATCTATAACCTTTAGACTTGGAGCTATAACCAACAAAAATACATTTTTTACTTACTTCATCAAGCTTGTATCTCTTTTCTTTTGGAATTTGAGCATAGCAAATGCTCCCAAAAACCTTCAAGTGTTTCATTGATGGTTTCCTTCCACTCCATGCTTCAATTGGAGTTTGATTCCACACGGCCTTTGTAGGATTTCTATTGAGCAAATACACAGCTGTATAAATGGCTTCAGCCCAAAATTCCTTTGGCAACCCGCAACCCTTTGTCATGTAACATGGATTTTTTCATCTCCATCACAGTTTGGTTCTTTCTTTCCGAGACTCCATTTTGTTGTGGTGTGTAGCCAACGGTCAGTTGCATCTCCAAACCTTCATCTTCACAAAATTTTTGAAATGCATTTGAGGTGTATTCCTTACCACGATCACTCCTCAACTTCTTGATGTAACAGCCACTTTGTTTCTCAACAAAACTTTTGAACTTCTTAAATATCGAAAACACCTTGGATTTTTCTTTCATGAAATAGACCCAAGTCATTCTTGGAAAATCATCAATGAAAATGACGAAATACTTGTACCTCCATGAGAAGTTGTCTTCATGGGCCCACAAAAAATCCGTATGAATCAGCTCCAAGATCTTCTTGGCTCGCCATGCAACTTCTTTAGGAAATGGTTGCTGGTGTTGTTTGCCAAGTGCACAACCTTCACA